CAGGAACTATAATGTGCACCTGTCTTTAACCAAAAAGTATGTAATCAAATACAACATAATCTGTCAAGTAAATGAAGATTGTAAATGTGGGAAAAAAAGAACAGCAGTTGAATAAATCCAACAATTAGTCACTGCAAGAGCTTTAAAGACAGCTGTAAGGAAGAAAAGGTTTTGTGCACTATTTTTGTAATAGGATGGTGGGGTGTTTTTGTGTGTGTGTTTTTTGGTTTTGCTTTTTTTTGTTTGTTTCTAAGGGCTAGTTGAATATAAATACTGGTAGAAACGTCCAGATCAAGCATCTTGCTAAACAGCTTTCTGTCTCAAGAGGCCTTTCATGAAATGTTATGAAACTGGAATTGCACAGCACTTGGTAATCAGGGTAGCTGATAAATAAATATGCAGCTGAGGGGAGGATTTGTCCAGTGAGATGGACAACAGGTGACTGATTCTTAGAGAGATCAAGGAGTGAAGTTATACTGGTGATATAGAACAAAGCAAAGTCTCTATAGCAAGCCCTAATTAATTATTTTTATACACTTTAACATGGTAGCTCAGGAGGAAAAAAAGGGAAATTGAAGTGGTTTTGTTCAGCTAAGGTACCTATTTCTTCTAAAGAGAGACTGTCAAACCAATTCAGATGTCATATTTTTTAAGAGAAAAGTTTTCCAAATCCTAGGGTCAGCAGAGACAACTTTTTCTTGCAGATTTTGATTAAAACTTTGATTTTGCTTCAATGACACTATAATGTTCATAATCTGAACAACACAACATAGCAGATTGTCTATTTTTCTAGAACTGACCAAACAATGAAATGTAAAATATAAACAATCTACATTCACTGTGAAAGGTACACTTAATTTTAAGAAGTTGTTCTGTTTTAATGATCTAAATGATTGTACCTCAAGTAAAATCTTTTTGTTGCTGCTGATTAAATCGGGCTGTATTCCTTCAAGTCAGGGTGACAGAAGCTGTTCTCAATCCCACAGATGTAATAAAAGGATGACTTCACTGAATTTGCCGTCGTGTCAGTGAGTGGGCTTGGCACTGACTCCAGTTTACCTGGAGATACTATGCATATGGCATTTAGGATGTGCAAGGCCTGAAGGTTTTTACTTGGCTTTATCTTTCAATATAAAGCATGTTAATGCTAAGCTAAAAATCAAAGCAAAATCTAAAATTATTTTTCTTTAAACTATATAATGATGCATTTAATTACAAATTATATAAAATCTGAGCCTAAATATGATCAGTGATCCCATAAGCACCGCGGGCAGGAAAAAGCTGTTTAATCTTATTCCTTCCTACTCTCCACTGCAGTCCTTGTTCTAGTCCGCCGTTTGCCGTCGGTGTCTGTGTCGCAGGGTGTTACTCATTCCAAAACCCTTCTGAGCGGCCACTTGGGCTCAGCTCAGTGCAGTGATGAGTGCAGGCGGAGGCTCCCTGTCTGCCACGACTTTGTCGTTTCGTCATGCCTCGTGGGTCGAAGCAGAGACAGGAGGAAGCTGGAAAAGGGGAAGGATGCGCAGCGGCTGATACAGCGGGGCGTATGGCCCCGTCAAGGCTGGGCTCTGTTAGGTGCTCGTGGGAGAGCCTGGCTGCAGAGCGAGAAGCGGGGTGTCTGGCAGGACGGCAGGACACCGTCTGACGTGGGAGCCTTGCAAGCCTGGCTTGCTTATGGTCTGTACCCAGCCTGCCCGGCGCCCTTGGAATGATCCACGGGACCATCCCTAACAGCCAGGTGTGAGATACCTTTTAGATAAATATCTTGAACAGTGAAAGACTCTTCTGGAAATGGTACACTCTAAAACATCTCGGAAGAAACCGCTTGATTTTGCAGTCTTGAATATTTTTGAGGTTTTGTGCAAGGGTTCGTTAAGAACTCAGATTTCCAGCTGCTAATCAGCTGTAACCCTTCATTAGTTCTTGTCTTAGGTTATTCACAAACTTTTTCTTGCAGCATTTGTTCTCTCCCAAAACACAATATTCTGCAGTGGGAAACCAAAAAAACTGCTTCTCTTCATCACTGTGAGATTTGTTCCCTGCGTTTAATTTCTAAAAACTGCTGCTATTAAGATATAGATATATATATCTTAATGGCATATTAAGGAAGGGATATATCGGGGAGGGAGACTCAAAATCTGCATAAATGACATATGGACCGTTTAAAAAAAAAAAAAAAAATTGTACTGGCACCTTCCAGGTGGTTTTTTTGTGCAAGGTCAAACAAACCAAGCCATGAATAGCTGAAGAACCATAAAGAAAACGTTTTGCTCTTTACATAGGTCATACATTAGAAAAATGAGGAAAAAGTGGGTTTTATTCCTTAAATTACTAATTAGAAGCATGGCTACAAGCTCAAGAAAAAGGACGTGATTTGCAGTATTGCTGCAAACTCCTATGTGGTTGTGTCTGAAAATGAAGATGTCGTGTACTGACCTGTCTGGGCACAATTCTAAATATTATACCACTATTTCACATTGATTTGTTAGATCTGCACAGAATATGGAAAGTTTATTCCACAAAAGATTTTTAAAGTTTGGCTTTGTTACAGATCAAAATCTTTTCCCAAATTTGCCTCTTGAATACAATTTTTATGATACCTGGAATGTTTCAAGTAGTCAGAAAATTATGCTGAATTTTTTTATGAACTCTATCTTTTCATCCCAGTATAAGGAAATCATTCTTGAACTAGCATACAAAGTAACCTTTCTAAGGAGTATACTGAAGCTTTTATTAACCTTTAACTTTTTTCTACACCTCTTCCCTCCCCAGGATGCCTTTGAGATAATGGCTGAAAATTATGAGTTCAAAGAAAACGAAATATTCTGCCTGGAATTTCTGAGAGCAGCTTCTGTGCTGAAATTTCTTCCATTTCCAGTAACCAGAATGAAAGATATACAAGGGCTGCCCTGCATGGGAGACCGAGTCAGAGATGTCATTGAGGTAATGTGCTTCTGAATTATCTGCTCATTGGTTCTTTTACAGATCTACTTTTAGAGGTTACAGAGTACAGCATTGATGTCCGTGTATATTTACACAGACTTCTCTATTTCCTGAAGTAACATTATATTATCCTTGTCACTAAGGACAATGATTTCTGGTAACCTTTTGTAGTAACGTAAGGTTTTGTCATGGAATCCCTGAATTTACGAATAAAGGTAATTAATGAATAAATACAAATTAAGAAGTAATGCAGCATCATCTTTGTATGTAATTTTTAAAGGCTCACTCTGATTTGGATGTGACAGGTTAACTCTTCATAGTTTTGTTCATGTGACTTCTGCGCTTGGCAACATCACTTTGCTCACCTGAATTCTTTATTAGAAATACTATTTTTGCAAAACTAGTAAATATTTTAGTACTTTAATGTTATAATCCTACCTTGCCACGAGTTATAGCAGAGCCTTTCACCCAGGTCATGGATGAACTTTACATTCTTACTGGAGCTTTGAGTATTCCCCGCATTTTTCTTTAATTCTTAGCTCTCACCTGCATCTCAGTTGCTGTTATTCCAGCAGGCAGCTGATCGGGGGGTCTCGGCTGTCTGGAGAGATCATTGCTGGGTGTTGTGATTCACTCTGGCTGCTTCTTTACCACACTCCACCAGTTAAGTGTAGCATCTGAAGTGCTCTTTACACCTACTACCTGGGGACTGGGAATTCAATTATGATCCCACAGAAAATAGGATAATTTGTTGGGGTTTTATTGGTGGGGGTTTTTTTTGGTTTTGTTTAGTTTTTATCAGAAAGACTGAAGGAACTGTACACTCAAGGAAAAAAAAAAACAACAAACTGGTCTTATACTGCTGTTACTTTTCAGAGTAGTAAGCTCAACTAAATAATGAAATCTAATTTTCAGGACAAATCATTGATAGCTTATGATAAATAACTGCTTTCTGGCTCTGAATTTATGAGTAAATAAGTATTGTGAAATATATTCCATGGTCCTGGTTTCTACTTCATCCTTGAGTAAATTTATGAGTAAATAAGTACTGTGAAATTTATTCTGTGGTTCCAGTTTCTCCTTCATCCTTCAGTAATTTTCTATCTCAAAAAGGATTGCAGAATTTGATCTTAATGGAACAAAACAATATGCTCGCTAAGGATGCTCTTCATGTTTGTACAGGTTGCTAAGACTTCCTTTTAGATTATTTTACTGAATCTTACCGTAATCTTGATTGATTTTTTTTTTTTTAAAGTAACCTTTTTCTTTGTTTAGGAGATTATTGAAGAAGGAGAGAGTTCTAGAGCTAAAGAAGTATTAAATGATGAACGATACAAATCATTTAAGGTAAATCTTTCGAGGTTTGTTGCTGTTGTTTAAAATTGCATATATTTTCCTGTTTAGTAGAGCTTAGACATAACCATCAATTTCATTGTAAAGGAACATCCAATATTAAGTATAAAGAAAGAAAGGTCTTCAATAAAGAGAAAGGGAGAAACTGTGATAGACTAAGGAATAAGGGTGAGATAAGTTACCTTTCTAATTAATGTGATGCGTACACAGTTGCTCTTAAGCTTGAACTAAACAATCTTTTTTTCCTGAAAACTAATGTAGTGCATACTCTTTGCTGCAAGTTTAACCCAATGTTTGGTTTATTTTTTCCTCAGTTGATTATCATTATAACACTACACATTCTTGTTCTGGCATTAAGAAAATACCAGGAGAAGATGACGACTGAGATCTATTTTAATTCTCTTCTGTGTGAGGCAGAAGGAAGGGGACTGGAGATACTTCTTTGTTAGGCAGATTGTATGTTCAGTGTCCTGGTCACACTTCTTCACAGTTACAGGGACTCTAAAACACATAAATACTGCAGTTCCCATTTCTTAAATAATCAGTGAGTTTTTCACTGGAAAAATATTTTTTCAATTTTACCTTCAGTTTTAATCTCTAAAAACATCTTGTTTGTGTCTTCAGAAAAAATTATATCAGAGAGTAAAAGGAATGGGACTGTTTAATTCTCCCCTGCATTACTCGCTTTTACTTCAGGTATTGAACGGCTTTTCCATCCTTCCTGACCCCGTAATACAAGTATGGAAGGGTGTTCAGTGATAATTGTTGATGTCATCTGTAGCAATGCTCAGAGAAAAGATGTAGATACACATGTATAGCAAGATTCCGGAACCAGACTATTTCTATTAATGGAAATAAAGACTGAGGATCAGCCAGTAAATCTTGTATTTCAAGGTTTAAGAAACTTTTGTGGAGATTAGAATAAAACCTACCAGGGGACAGATTTTATCAAATATGCTTTATGCCTTGTTTCACATGCCAAATTACAACAAACTTACATGGTTGTCTTGTTAGCTGAGCACAGTCTCAACATTTTGGCTAAATGGGCTCTAGCCAGTTTTTCCCAATAATGTTTTATGTGTTTTTAAGAAAGGCAAGAAGAATCCCGTAGTATTAGTGAATTCCTAACTGTTACTATTTAGCGTGGCTCTGGTTACTGTTGCAAATCACTCGTCGTGACTTAAAAGATCGTTGCTGGTCGCAGGATCACAGTTACGAAATGACTGAAATAAATTATGCAGTCGGTGTTCTAGAGGTAGTGTACATTAATCATGTGGTCAGTTTGCCTCCTTATGGAAGTGAATGCTGCAGAGAACAAGTTCACGTAATTCACTTTCAAGAGCTGAAAAAGAGCAATGCTCACATACACAATTGAAGAAATGAGCTACTCGCTGCTCACGCTGCACTCTGGCAGCTTCTTTAAATTGACATCTATAAACATACTGAATAATAATGGATTTTAGTATGGAATGAAAAAAATGTGGATTTTTTCCTAAAAATTTGGACCATGGCATAGAATCCATTTTCTTTAGTTCTTTGTCCCAATATTAATTAGGTGTCTTGGAATCATTCTATAACCCAGTAATAGACCCTTTTGAAAATCTTTTAGCACTAGCAAAAACATTAAAAGATAACAATCTAAGTATTTAGAAAATCGCATTCTTTCATAAACACCCATGACTCAGACAAAGAGTAGGTAATTTCATCCATAATATACAAAATGTAGGGTAATTCCTATTTAATATGATCCAAGATTTTAATTTTCCTCTTTTCTTTATCTTAATTATTTCCAAGGAATTAATCTCATTAGAAAAACACAAAATAAAGCTAGCATGGCTGGAATTCAGAGGTTGTAGATTCAATGGATACAGCAGTTATTCATGTCTTACACAGCTACTCACTGGATTCCATAAAAGTACAAAGAAGCTATTGAGAGATTCAGTATTGACAAATTGGACATAAAGAACGTGCTTTTGGGCAAGCATGAAAGTCTTCCTTCTTGCTTTCATATCACTATTCGTCTGAGATATTGATCCACTGAATAATGCTTACAACTGTGACATTTTTGCTTTATATCCTTCCTTTGGGAATAAGTTAGTGTACAAAATTACTTTGGAATAAATAGAATATACCCATATGGAAACTTTAGAGACTTGTAGATTTGTTTTGGGTTTTTTT